GGGCTGGAGAGCTAGATTAGCTTAGGTTGTTGATCTGCTCTAAATCTAATAACACCCCATTGCCTTTACTCCCCTCTATCTCACTGATGACTGCGGAACCTGTGCTTTGCAAAGCACTGGGCAGAGGGCCTGGCCCTGAGGCCTTTTCACCCTGATCTCCCCCTTCCTGCCCTCGGCCGTGTTCTGCGCCTCCTGTTGCATCTTGTCCCTGTTTCAGCCCCGATCTTGCAGTTGCTGGTGTGGATCTGTGCGGAGCCGGTGTCCTCACATGAGGCAGCGATGGTGAAGCAGCTGCAGCCCTAGAAGGGGGAATTTTGTGGGATCCCTGACCTAGGGCTGGCGGCTAACGCCCTGCAAGCTCCCTGCGGATATACCGGCGCTCTTTGCTAAGCCCTATTGTTCTGCTGATGTCCTGTACATCACAATCCACTTATTTTAATCCCTCGGCGCTGCTGTTCTGTTCTAAATCTGACAGGTGTGAAGCTGGGACAGTTCCTGACTTCAGCCCTAGCTTGGGTGTGACGTACGTGGAGCCCCTCACCGGCACTTCCTTGTGCAGCTCCTGCTCTTTACGACGGAGCTTTCCTGGGCCTGGCTGAGGGAACCCAGCCCTTCTGCAGCAGCGTGTTTAATGCAGCGCTTAATGACGCCTGTGAAGGCTTGGACAAAACCGCCACGCAGTTTCCGTTAGCACAACCTGGCCAGGACCGGCAGGTACAGCTAGGGGAGGAGGAGCTCACACAGGGGATGTCATCCATGGGCAGAGCAGATCCAGCTGGTCCAGAGGGACCAGTGCTAACGCTTCACTGGGCAGTAACGCTCCTCCCACACAGCACCAACGTGCCAGGATGGACAATTCCTCCCTGGCTCTCACAGGCGATCAGCTCGCTCCTTGTGCTGGCCCTAGTCCCCCTTGTGCCTTTCGTGTGTGGCGACAGATGTCTTTCCTTGGGGTCCACAAACACTGCTAACCTCTTGGTGTGGCTCCCGCTGCGGGCCTCAGGGTAGACTTCCACCCAGGCTGTCCGCGTCACAGATCCCCTGGTTCTCATGCTCTGAGACAAGGAGCACAGGCTACGGCCCGAGTCCTTGGCTGCAGCCAGGAGCACACAGTACTGTTCACCAGGGCCCTGTGCACAGGGCCGGTCCAGCGGTGTAAATCAGAGCCGGAGAGGAGGGTGAGGTGGTTAAGAGACTGGACTGGGGCTCAAGCCAGAATCCCAATTCCCACCTCTGCCACAGACACCCTGTGTGTCCCTGAGCAAGTCACTTCTCCTCTCTGGCTCCCTTTCCCCAGCTATAACATGGGACGGCTGAAGTCCCTGCCTCGCAGGACGGCTGGGAGGCTGAATCCAGCAGCGCGGGCACGGGGCTCAGATACTGCAGGGATGGATGAAAGTCCTACCTACATAACCAGGGCCAAACTTCGCCACAAAGCAAACGACTGGGGCTAGCTGGCAGGACGCACAAAGGGCTGTCAATGGGGCGTCGCTATATCCTGGCCACGGCCCCGATACTGTCTGCAGAGAGGCATGGCATACAGGGGCTGCTACGCCGGCCCTGGGCCAGTCCTCCAACAGCTGGCTAGGCCCCTCCCTTGTCCTTTGTTCCTCTGTTTTCCGGGCCGAGCTACTCACTAGACATTGCGGCAGCCGTGTTAAATCCGACTCTCCTGCTTCGCTTGTATGTATCAGGCGAAACTTTATCTGAACACACGCAGGGAGTCTGTAAATGCCTGCGAAGGACGCCAGAGAAAGGAGGTCGGCACTCGGGAACCCCTGATTACAGCCCCTCAGCCAGGCTAGCTTCTGCTCGGGCACATAGACGTTCACTCAGTGCTGGAGGAAACGCACAACCTAACCGTAGCTAGGAAACAGGAGAAAAGGGGCTTTCCCTTCCACCGCCATCAGATTCATTCTAGACAATAAAAAATGGACCCGCAAGTCATTAGTCTTTAACGGCTCTTCCTGCTTAACGGCCGCTACCCAGGGCTACATTCTTTTGTCTAACCAGGCAACGTTGTGGTTGTTGAAATGCAAGTGAAATCTCTGACCTTGTTTGTACCCACCCAAGTCAAGTCGTCTCCAAACCAGCATCTTTCAGAAGCGTGTCAGAGCCAAGCCTGCTGTACTGGAAACGCTCGTCTTTTGTGGGCGCTGCCATCCACCAGCTACAGTGCAGGGGTTATGGAGGCGATTGGGGGGGACTGGCCCCATGGCAGCACTCGTGAGAGGGATTTTATCGTTAAATTAAAAAACGCTGTTACCTTGTCCCCGCTCAGCTCCTAGCGCACGGCTTGGTGTAACATAGAAGGCATCGAAGCACGTCTCAGGGCTACTTTGGTACAAATTCAGCCCTCCATCCCACAGACTTCGGGTACATCATCATTCAAGCCAGGTGCAAACTCCCACTCCAGGAGACATCCCTGATGGAGCTAGAAGTACAGCCGCGGGGGCTGAGCAGCAGGAGGGGCTAGCTGCTCTGAGCATGGACGTAGGGGCTCCGATGGTATCATGGTTGGCGTGGCTATCCCCTCCCAGCACCACGGCTCCCCTCAATCAGAGCTAACGCAGGTATGTCTCCTCGAGCAGGAAGTTCCACGGTGCAGCTCGAATGCAGCTATACTCTGTGTCACAGCGGTGGAGTGTATGGGATAGGTCAGGAAAAGGCTAATTTCTGGAAGTTTGCAGATGACACAAAAATTGAGGGAGTGGTAAATAATGCAGAGGACAGGGCACTGCTTCAGAGTGATCTAGCTCGCTTGGTAAACTGGGGGCAAGCAAGCAACGTGTGTTTTAATACAGCTAAATGTAAACGTCGGTCGTACTTACGCGATGCGGGACTCTACCGGGGAAAGCTCTGAAAAAGATTTGGGGCTCATGCTGGATAATCAGCTGACTATGAGCTGCGGGTGTGATGCTGAGGGCAAAAGGGCTAATGTGCATAAACAGGGGAATCTCGAGTAGGCGCAGAGAGGTTATTTTGCCTCTGTGTTTGGCACAGGTGCGACCGCTGCTGGAATCCCGTGTCCAGTTCTGGTGCCCACAATTCAAGAAGGATGCTGATAAATCGGAGAGGGGGCAGAGAAAAGCCATGAGAACGATGAAAGGATTAGAAAATTTACCTTATAGTGAGAGACTCAGGGCTTGTCTACACTACCGCGGTAATTCGACGGCTGGCAATCGAACTTCCGGGTTCGATTTATCGCGTCTGGTCTGGACGCGATAATTCGAACCAGGAAGTGCTCGCCGTCGACTGCGGTACTCCACCTCAGCGAGAGGAGTACCGCGGAGTCGACGGGGGAGCCTGCCTGCCGCGTGTGGACCGCGTCTGAACCGCGGTAAATTCGAACTAAGGTATGTCGACTTCAGCTACGTTATTCACGTAGCTGAAGTTGCGTACCTTAGATCGAATTGGGGTGTTAGTGTAGACCAGGCCTCAATGAGCTCCATCTATGTAACTGAAGAAAGAGAAGGATAAGGCATGACTTGATCACAGTCTGTAAGTGCCTATGCAGGGAAGAAATATTTAATAATGGGCTCTTCAGTCTAGCAGAGGGAGGTTTAGCCAGATCCAATGGTTGGCAGTCGAAGCTAGACAATTCAGACTGGAAATAAGGCGTAATTTTTCGACAGTGAAGGTCATGAACCATTGGCACAGTTCCCCGAGGGTTGTGGTGGATTCTCCATCACTGGCAGTTCTGAAATCAAGCTGGGACGTTTTCCGAGAAGCTCTGCTGCAGGGATTGTTTTGGTGGCAGGTCTCTGGCCGGTGTTATACGGGGAATCAGGCTAGATGATCACAATGGTCCCTTCTGGCCTTGGAATCTATGAATCTAATTGCTGCTGTCTCTATTCTCTGCCAGTGGCATTTGATGCTGACTGTGCCCTTAGTGGGAAGGGGAGTTAATGGGAGAAGAGAAAGAGAGGAAAACAAACACGTCCTCCTGGCCGATGAGGGGAGGGAGAGACCTCAGCTGAGTTTCATTGACAGAGGAATCCGGCCTTGCATACTTGGTGGCGAGTGAGCTGTGAACAATTTACGGGGCAAGAAATATTTCTGAGACCCAGTCATGCTTTTGCCCAGTGAATACATTCCGGGAAATTCTGAGCTGCTTGCAGGTGATTCTCCAACAGACAAGAGGCTACATTAAAGAACTGATTTGCGATGAATATTTGCTCAGCTGTAGCCTCTAACGTGTTTTCTCAAGGTGGAGGGTCATTTCTGATCAGAAATGTGAAGGCAGGCATGCCAAACCGGCCAGAGAGGAATGCTTTTTACTACAGGGGAATAAGTTCACATTTTATTTACACTAATCAAATGAAAAAACAATGCAGTGAGCTGCTCCCAGTGACGCAAGACGCCAGGCTGCTGAGTTTAGCAAGTAGAACAATCCCCAGAGGTCTCCTTCGCTTCTGGCACTGGCTTGCTGATGGACCCCTGGAATCATGCTGTAGATCTAGAGCGAATGCAATGTACAGACCTGCACACCCATTCACTTTACACATCTCCCCAGTGCGCCAGAAAGCAAAATGCTGCCCTGCTTTTAACGGCGCTTAGAACTGTCACAAGTGAAGGCGGTAAAACTCTGCTGATCTTGCCTGACCAGCTTAAAAACATCAGATATGTGAGTGAACATTGTCATTGGCAGTGACTGCAAAAACTAAGCCTGGTTTGTGGGGGTGTGTGTGCGTGTGTGCAGCTCTCCAGCTTCCAGACATATCACTGTTCAGCCCCACCCCACGCTCCTCATTGGCTCTAGAGAGCGCCCTAAAGGAAGGCCAATTATCAATCTGATCAGATCGAATTACTTCATCCAGCTGACAGCGTTTGACACCTGTGTCCACACCAGCCACTCCTTGTCTCTAACCCACCACTGAACTCCTGAAAGGATGGGGCAGTGCACAAAGGGGTTAATCAGAGCTACATGTGAGCAGACAAGGGTCATCTCTTCAAAGGCACCAATGCTTAAGCATCAAAGAATAAAGGCATCCCATTACCTTTTTCCCGTGAGCTGCTCCCATAGTACACGTTCAGTGTCCAGGAAGCCTCCCCCAAATCTCCGGCAGTCCCTCCGAATTGTCCTCTTGGCTTGCGCTTGTGGTGAGTCGCAGGCTCTGTGTCGTTCTGTGGTGTTGTCCACACAATCTGTGGAGAGGCATGGGCTGCATTAAACACTAGGGAATGTGCAAACACACGGCTCCTGGCTCCCTGACAGCTCCAGTTTATTCCACAGAGCAACGCAGGCAAAAATCAGCAGGATCTTAAAGGAGATGAGCATCGAAGTTTTCCTTTGACTTCTTCTCCCGCCACGTAAAGAACTCACTTCTGTATACCTAATGTCCGACTTGCACACAGGGTCTGCCCAGGCACAAAGGCAGCTTTCATCCTGTAGATGCCTGGCTTCTAAGCTGGGTTCCTTATTCTGAAAGGCTGTGGAAGATTATAGTAATTGTACTTGACAGACCAAGATGTCACAGAATGCAGAGCTGATCTGGGAAAGAATTCGACCTGCTGGGCTCGGCTGGGCCCCAGCACTAGGAGCTCCTTGTTTGCTCGTGGATTTGTGCCATCCTCTCTAGCCATTTGTCTTGCACTTCACGATGGCTTGGCGGAGACGCCTTGACAAATAAGCCCATTTCCCCACTGCTCAGAGAAAGAATGCAGGCTTATTATTCAGCTGCTAGGCTGTGGCTCCTGCACTCCCAATCAGGCAGCACTTCAACTTCGGCAAGTTCTTGCGGCTGCTCACAAACAAGCATCTTAAACAAAGATGTTACATAACGTGACGTGTGTGTGTGGCTTAGCCCCAGTGGGTACCCTCGCCGAACTGCACCGGGTAAAGGCCTTGTCCTACACGCTTGCGCTGGCTGCACTGGAGTTCTGCCCAGCTAAATCAGCCCCCAGGGCCAATCCAGGGGGGTGCTGAACACCCTCTGTTTCTGTTAAAGTCAGTGTGAGATGCGGGGGCTCAGCTCCACTCCGGAGACTTGTCAAGGATCTTTAATAAACTCACCAGGGAAGATCTCAGTCATAAAGAATCCTTTCAAACCGCTAGTGACGGGAGGCCACGGGGCACCCCCCACCCCTTTTGCAGCTACCACAGCCAAACTTTTTTGTAAAAAAAGTGACGCGAGTGACTGGCTCCTAAGGCCACGGGGAGGCACCTAAAGAAATGGGTAGATTTTACAAAGTGCTGGGTGATCACTAGAGTCCAGGGCCTCCAGGGGGAGCTGCTCTGCCCGCAGCACTGCTGAAAATCTGCCTGCTCATCAGGCTGCCGAAATATGGATTTAGGAGCCTGACTTTAAAGCCCCAGTTTTTTGACCTGCCTTACTGATTGCTCAGTCGCAGAATCAAAAGCAGAGTCTCCGCACAGTGCCTGAAACATGAGGGCCCCTTGGAAAACCTTCCCATCCAACCAGCACAACCCCAGTGCTGATGGCAGGATTGAATAGAATTTTTATGAGAGACACTGTGGCCGTGTGGGAAATATTTACAGCTTGAATTTTATCTGCCCTAGCATGGAGTCCCTGCTTGCTGACGGGAAGTAAACCAGCTGGCATATCGACGCTGGCAAGGCACGAGGCGGGTGTTAGTTGCAAAGCTACGGCGGTGGTTATACGGACCGTGTTTCTCAGCGCTGACACGGGGGGTGCATGAGCACTTGGCTTTAACAGCAGTGTTTTTACAGCACAGTTGAGGACCTATTTGTGAGAAATCCCGACTTCCTGAAACGTATAGTAAAAGCACGGAGGGCTCTTGGGACGAGGGTCAACGCCAGGCCGGCGCCTGACGGTTTAAATATTTTCATGAGTCTCTCTCTGCTTTTTGCAATAACCTTCGACAGTTATTAAGGGGAGTTTTGCTTTTATTTGTATTTAAGAAAAGAAACCGCAGCTTCCTTTTCCTAATTGTTTTCAGGGTTGGGGGACGTAGGGTTCGAAGTGGAGGCCGAAGGCCCAGGCTCAGGAGTGCGCCCCCTGCACTAGGTTATTAAGAAGGGGATTAGGTATTTGGCATTGATCTGTGGACCTTTATTCTTTCGCTTGGCCTAGGCCTCTTTTCCAGGCAACAGAAAGAGCTTCTCTGTAATGTAACAAAATTGCCTTAATTCTGTGTGATTGAGCTCCTCAGATTGCATTAACCCAGGAATGCCACAGAGCAGCCTGCAGGAAAGCATACGCCAGGCTGTATAAATGCTGCATGTCCGTCTCCGAAAAGCCCACAGAGTGCCTGATTTTTTCCTCTCTTATTGACATCAGTTACACATCTGAGTGCTTAGCACTCCTGACAATTAGACCACAGGTGTCTCTCACTGGGCACCTAGGAAATGAGGCACACACACAGAGTTGAAAATGCTGGTTTAAGTGACTTGCCCAATTTCTCACAGGAACATATGGCAGAGCCAGGGGTAGACCCCACTTCTCATGGGTCACACTCAACTATCTTATCTTATCTACTAGAAGCAGACCTTCCCTTCCTGCAGTCATAAGAACGGCCAGTAACCTGTCTTCCGATAGTGGCAAATGCCAGGTGCCCCAGAGGGAATGAACAGAACAGGGAATCATCAAGTGATCCAGCCCTTGTCGCCCATTCCCAGCTTCTGGCAGAGGGTAGGGACACTTCAGAGCATGGTTTTGCACCCTGCCCATTCTGGCCAATAGCCATTGATGGACCTACCCTCTATGAAAGTATCTAGTTCTTTTTTGAACCCTGTTATAATCTTGGCCTTCACAACATCCTCTGACAAGGAGTTCCACAGGTTGACTGTGTGTTGTGTGAATAAATACTTCCTTTTGTTTGTTTTAAACCTGCTGCCTATTAATTTCATTGGGTGACCCCTAGTTCTTGTGTTACCAGAAGGAGTAAATAACACTTCCTTATTTACTTTATCTACACCAGTCATGATTTTATAGACCTTAGTCATATCCCCCTTTAGTCGTCTCTTTTCCAAGCTGAAAAGTCCCAGTCTTATTAATCTCGCCTCATACGGAAGCTGTTCCATCCCCCTAATCATGTTTGTTGCCCTTTTCTGAATCTTTTCCAATTCCAATATATCTTTTTTGAGATGGGGCAACTATATCTGCACACAGTATTCAAGGTGTGGGTGTACCATGGAGTTATATAGAGGCAATATGGTATTTTCTGTCTTATTATCTATCCCTTTCTTAATGATTCCCAACATTCTGTTTGCTTTTTTGACTGCCGCTGCACATTGAGTGGATGTTTCCAGAGAACTACCCACAGTGACGCCAAGATCTCTTTCTTGAGTGGTAACAGCTAATTTAGACCCCGTCATTTTATATGTATAATTGGGATTATATTTACCAATGTGCATTGCTTCGCATTTATCAACACTGAATTTCATCTGCTGGCCCTGGAGTCCCACTTGGCCGCTGGCCCGCATGTGCGGTCCCAGCCCCCGGGGCCTTGGGGCTCTGCTGCCAGCCCCAGGGTCCCGCCCACCGACCCTGTGCCCGGGGGCTCCACTGCCAGCCCCAGGGTCCTGCTCGGCCACCGACCCTCCGGCCACCAGCCCTACACCCCACTAGCCGTGGGCCCAGCCTCCGCTGCCTTACCCCTGTCCATGTCCCCCTCTCCCAGAGCCACATCCCTGCTCCTGGCCCCAGCTTTAGGGGGTGGTGAGGGGCGTGGATGGGGTAAGAGGGGTGCAGGTCAGCACCCCCACTCCAAAAGCTATTCCAGCGCCACTGCTGTGCACCGAATGAGGCAAGGACCGGTGGAAAAAATCAGATGTGATCATGAAATTAAAGACTATAGAATCATGAACACAGTTTGTCGAGGTCTACAATTACAGGTAAACCATGTTCTTCCCCCATCCAGCTCACCTGATTGCTGACAACCGTTTTCACGTGCCATTCGATTTCCTAGCCCGGACCATGCTCAAGAGGCAGAGGGCAGCCTAATAGAGGCTTTAGGCCAGACATCTTCCCAGCCTTTAGACACTTGATGCACACGGGTGTTTCAGATTTGAATGTGGCTCAGCTAAGAGCTGAGCTGAGCCACATCTGGGCTGGCCTGTTTTGCCGTATGTGTTTGTGAAATAGGGCTTTGGGGCTCCTGTTGAACTTGTACAGACATTGCCCCGCTCCCAATGGGGCTCTGACAAAGGCAGCCCTGCGTTCTGTGCAGTTCTGCCATGCATATGATCCACAGCACACACAGGGAGTCACGTCTCTACATGAAATCTCTCTTAGTGGGGACCCTGGTGACGTTTAGTCAGCATCAGATGTCTAGTGAGACTCTGAAGCACAAGATGAATCACTAGTGAACTGGGACAGCAGGCTTTGATTTTCCAGTAGAGATCCAGACAGCCTGTGTTCCCAGCTCTCCTGCGGGAAGGTTTCCACCTTCTGGTTCGAACCTAGAATTACAACTTGTTAAATAGGTTTATCACTTTCAGACTTTTCATTTCTCAATGGCCACAAGTGTGTCTCTCAGTGAAGGGGAACAGTGCTGGATTCTCTCCCGACTCCTTTATTTTTGTAACCACTGGCGTTTCCCCTGTAACTCCACTGGAACTTTGCTTCCCTGGAGTCGCTCTGATTTCCACTGGTGTGAGAGGAGCATCAAACCCCTGGGGTCCAGCGTCTGTAATGCCACAGTTCTCCCCGTCACTCACATCCCAGGCTGCATGCTGGCTCTTGCTTACACGTATGAGTAGACAAGAAACTCTGCAGCCAGGAAGAGAACTGAGTGAAACAACTCTCGTGCTGCCCACAGCCCATGGAGTTGCTCTTTGCAGGTGTCCGGTGGCGCCAGCCATAAAGAAGCATGCAGCTGAAGGTTGATAGGTTTGTAAAGTCACAAGGGATTGTTATGATCTGACCTCCCATATAACATGATTCCACCCAGTAATTCCTGCATCAAGCTCCTCACTTCTGGCTGAGAATAGCTCAGAGAAACATCCAATCCTGATTTCACTCCAGGGGTCATGTCAGGGACATGCTCGGCTCATTTTGGTGCATGGCCCAGTCCCTGTCCTGCTCAGTTTTCTCATAGGAAGTTCAATACGAGCTCAGTCCAGTGGATCATCTAGCACGGTGTCCAGTCCCTGACAGCACCATGTCTTCCCCCATTTCACGCAGACCTGGGAAGATCCCTGCACCGAAATCCCCCTCTGGGCATGGATGGCCAAGGCATGCTGTGCAACGCAAACCTCCACGGGCGTCTTGCTCCCCAGCGGGTGCCCATTTGGGGTTGCCAGCTTCTGAAAGGCAACCCTACTCTCTCTCCCAGCAGAGTGGTGCTCTCATCCTGGAGGTCTGGCGCTGCAGTGTTAGGACTAGCTTGCCACCGGGGGCCAGAAGTGGCTCCCTTCTCCTCCTTCCAGCCCGGTTTGTCTCAGGGAGCTCCGGGGGCAGTGAGTTCCAGAGGTTTGCTTGGTGCTGTGTAAAGAAAGGTTTTCGTATGGTTTTGAATGCTCAGGCCCTTCCTTCCCAGCAGTGCCCCTTTGTTCAATGAGCGAGGCAGAAGGGAAAAAGTAGCATCCAACTGCATCTTTCCCACGCTTAGAAGTCAGAGTCCACAGCATGTTAGCAGCAGAGTTGGGCACAGAGCCCCGACTTTAACCACTAGACCCCTCTGCCTCCCTCGCCTGTCAGCTCTCCTTGCACATGCTGGAAAAGTCACCGTAACCCTCACCGTGAGCTCCTGTGCTGAGAGGTGTTAGCGTCCCTGGGAGGAAGTGAGCACCCTGAGGACTCAGCCAGGTGGTCAGCTGACCTGTTCACTGCACGCGCCGCAAGGACCTTTAGGGCTTTATTCTCAGGGGACTCTGCAAGCTCAACTGCGGTCATTTGAAATGAGAAGACGAGGTTATTTTTACCGTGCTTTTATCCCAGTTACAATTCATCCGCCCTTGCACTGCCCGATCTGCCCCCCAGCTCCCCAGCGTGACTCTCCCCCAAAATGAGCTGGTTAGCATCATTGGTTAGAAATTTTATTAGAGACTCAAAAAATCCCAAACTCCCCATCGTTCAGCTATTTGATAGTCCCAGAACCAGAGACCCCATATAAAATAGACAATTGATTTCTGATAACTGTTTGAAAGCAAGAAACCCGCATCCCTGCGTGTGTGACGCAGAAGAGCAAAACCCCTCCCTGTCAATCATTCTGGACTCTCTGGACTCCCCATTCTCCAGCCCTGTGAGCTGCTGGGACACCAGAGCAGGCACTAAAGCCTCTCCAGCAGGCGGGAATCAAACCCAGGGAACACCAGCAAAAAACATCACACACAGCAACTTCCCCAGCCAGGGGAGGGGAGACAGGCGCTCCAGTGAGCCCTGCGGTCCCAGCAGGGCCCAGTACTTTGTCCCAAGGCTGATGGTCCATGTGAGACAACCAAGACAGGGTCCCCATTGTGCTGGATGCTGTCCACAGAGTAAAAGTTGACCCCTGCCTGCCACAAAGACCTGTCAATCGTGCACATGAAGGTAACTTTGCACATAGTGCAAACTGTCCCATTGGAGTCAATGGGCCATTGATTTCATCATTGGCCCATTGACTTCACTGGGAGTTCTGCTGTCTGGATGATGGCTCCTTCAGACGCTAATAATCTAAAATGTTGACTTCACCCTCTGGTATGCAGGTATCCTGCAGAAACACCCACTGGTGTGCAAGCGTGCGTGCGGACTGGGATCTGAGTGACAGGACTGGGTACCATATATTGGAAGACAACACCATGCCCTGAGAAAACTATTTGAACATAAAAAACGAGGAGTCCTTGTGGCACCTTAGAGACTAACAAATTTATTTGAACATAAGCTTTCGTGGGCTAGAACCCACTTCATCAGAGGCATGGAGTGAAAAATACAGTAAGCCGTATATATATTACAGCACATATATATACAGCTTACTGTATTTTTCACTCCAGGCCTCTGATGAAGTGGGTTCTAGCCCCAATACATTTGTTAGTCTCTAAGGTGCCACAAGGACTCCTCGTTGTTTTGGCGGATACAGACTAACCCGGCTACCCCTCTGGAACCTATTTGAACATAGAATATTGAAGTGTTACATAGTTTCATAGAGTTTAAGACCAAAAGGCACCATTGGGCCATCTCCTCTGACCTCCTGCACATCACAGGCCGGAGAATTTCACTCACTTACCCCTGTATTGAGCCCAGTGACTTTAGTTAGGCTAAAGGAGTTCATTCATCAGGAGACTAAACTGTTGGGTGCCACAGGCAGAGTAAAGGAGGGACCGTGGTGTCACCAGTGCCTGAGGCTACTGCAATGGTGGGGAATTGATTAGGTGACACATGCTCAGACATCCCAGCCCCATGCTTCAGAGGAAGGCGAAACCCACCCCCCACGGTCCCTGCCAAACTGAGCTGGGGGGAAATTCCTTCCTGACCACAGATCTGGGGATCAGTCTGACCCTGCACATGTGAGCCAGACTCACCAGCCAGGCAGCCAAGAAAGAGGATTTTCTGGACCACGTGAGCACTGGTGAACCCTGTTCGGTGTCCTCACTCTGGCTGTGCCCAATCCCTAATGCTTCAGAGGAAGGTGAGAAAAAAAAATCTCAGAACACATCAGTCCAACTGTTCACTGGGCAGAAAGATCCCTTCCTGACCACTGCAGGTGACCGACTGTAGCCCTGAAGCATGAGATTTGATTACAGTTATTCTCATAATGCAGAACTGCAAGTGTTATGAGCACGCTGAGGGCAGTGCAGAGCTTCCTGGCCTCCCCGTGGCCCATGAAGGAAGGGAACAAACAGGGGGAGTCATAGGATTCCCACATTCCAAGGCCACCATGACATCCAGCCCCCCCACCCACAAATGCTTTAGAATTTCTCCTAGAAGCTGGGTTAAAGTGTATACTTAAAAAAGAGATCAAAACTTGTCTCAAAGACTCCAAGTGACAGCGAGCGCACCACCTCCCCAGCAAGTTGTTCCAATGTTTAATCCCCCTCCTTGCTAGGAAATGGCATCTTATTTCAAGGTTGAATTGATCTAACTTCGACTTCCAGCCACTAGATTTTGTTCTGCCTTTGTCAGCAAGGCTGAAAAGCCCCCTGGTCTCTGATCTCTTTTCTTGGAAACAACGTGGGAGGATTTAAACGGTTAAAATCACTTTTAGCAACTCAAGAAGCAGAAGCTGAAGCAATTTCTTCCCAAGTGGAGTTGTGCACTTATTGTTTTGAGACAGCCAGGAAAATTAAATGCCTGATATTGACATTACTGCCTTCACCTCAACATGTGCCTTATTAATGTAATAGAGCAGCAGGCTGAAAGCTTAGACATTTGCAATGATTTCATAGCTGGTGTAGTATACCATAGCCTACAGGTTTTTAAAGCAGCATTCAGCCACCATTGTAAGTTGGCTGGTGATTTTAAAACAGCCAGTTGGCTGGAGCTGTCATGGAGCTGGGATCAGTCCATATGCCGGATTCAGTCGGAAATGCCTTCTTCCGGCCAAACAGGAATGTATTGTTAAATAAGGCTCGATGCGGGCGTTGTTCTGACTTCAGCACACTGCTAATCCATCTTCTTTGGGACACAGCCCTCCATTTCCAGAACTTCAGGCCAGCCGTCATATTTGTTTTTTGCCGCTTCATTTTTTAAGTGCTTTGGAGGGGGGAAAAAGAAATAAAGCAGAGGGTTTGGTATGGCAGAAGGGAATGTCAGATTTACAAGACGACAGATAATCAGTATAATGTGGGTATAATGTCATCTCCCCTACATGCATTGTCAGCACGGCTTGGAACATGGATGTTCAGCCCTGCAGCACAGAGCTCTACCACTTGAGCTAAAGGAGAAGCTCCATTAGCTGGTAGCAATAGTATGCTGTTGTCCTTTAGTGGCCCTGCCATTTAGTTAGTGAATTGTATATGCAAGATGAAGGGTACATTTTCAGCAGACAGCGCAGAGAACTGCTCCTAGTGTAGAAAGTTCAGGTGCTGTCCATTCACCACGTAGGGTATAAAGATTATGCCATTACAGAATTATTAACCCAGTTCTGACTCTATACATTTTTGCCCACACATGTGAAAGCAGCACCAGTGTGTGCTGGAAGGAGCAGCAGTGGCTCCAGGCTCCCGTCCGCCTGTGCAGACTGTATGTGTGGGAGCAGCACACAGCTACGTGGAGAGGGGAATACAGAGGAGACAGTCATGCCTTGGGGCACACAGGACCGGTCTCTGCTCCTGCACAGCTCCGGTCACTGCAAGGCCTGGGCAGTGGCTTGCCAATCAGCGGCTTTGGATACAGCTGGAATTAGGACAGAAGCATTTTGCCTCACACTTTCCCTATGGCCCTGGCTTCTCCAGTGCACGTGTGTGAACAGAGCCCCGCTGGCGTTCAGCCCTGCGCCTTGTCTCAGTGTGGGACACAGGAATTGGGCAGCAGAAGGGGACGTTTGATTCGTCCGTTTGCATGCAAGGCCCGGCAGACGAATACCAGCAGGAGACAGGGCAGCCTGAATGGTAGCAGCTCAGGCAGAAGTGGCCCAAATACTAACCAAGGCCACAGGCTTACTCTTGGGGGAGAGGGGAAAATACCTGTTCATAGGGGCTTTTATCCTTGAGCCCTTTTGCGCCTACGAAAGTCCAGTTGTCTCGGAAGGCCAGCTTGCTCGCATGGCTACTTCCCAGGTCGGTGAATAACGTCCGTGCTTCATCGTTCAGCCTAAGAAAAAGGGAAAACGGGAGAGCTGGGTGGGAAGCCCGCACTGCCCTTCGAGTCAGGTTCTGGATCGGTGCGACATGCTCATCAGCGTAGCGCGGAGCCTTCCCGTTGGGCATTAAGCAACATGACGAACGTTTGTCACCTATTTGTTCTTTCATCGTCTCCTCCGGGGGAGAAGTGTGTGCAGGGGAGTGCTGGGTTTGGAGTTTTTAAAACCATATCGTTATAATGTTTATAATGATTGGGTAATACACCTGTTATATGTTTGTTATAGACGGCAGGTCTTGCACTTGGGGCAGAAGGTGGGGAGGTTCGTGATGCTCCGAAGCTCCTGGGGGACTTCCTTGGACATTCAGTGCAGCTTCCTGAGCACTGGTGTAATGCTTAATGTGTTCTCCGCCTGACACACGGTGTGATGTGTTCTCCGCCTGACACACGGCGTAATGTGTTCTCCGCCTGACACATGGTGTGATGTGTTCTCCGCCTGACACATGGCGTAATGTGTTCTCCCCCTGACACATGGCGTGATGTGTTCTCCGCCTTACACATGGCGTGATGTGTTCTCTGCCTGACACATGTGTTCTCTCCCTGACACATGGGACTGGCAAGCAGACAGCTGCATTCTGCATCATCTGATGCTTCTGAATGGTCTGAAGGGGTAGCTCCCTGTAGAGCACATTATCCTAATCCAGTTCTGATTGCAATGCAAGGACTGTCTGTATAGACTTGGGGTCTGATCCTGCTACCCCGGAACCGAACGAGAGATTTGCCATTGACTCTGTGGGTGAAGGACTGGCCCTTGGAAATCAAACATCACCTCCTTGGATTGTACTTACTTTGTTGCTGGGTCATCGTAGGAGGCAACTATCACTATGGTGCCACTTTTGATGGCTTTCAGGAAGTCCAGTAGCAGCTTGATATCTGGTAAAGAAAAGAAAATCAACAGAGACATTCTGCTAACAGACCTGGTACCAGGGCCGCCCGGGGGGTGGAGGCAAGTGGGGCAATTTGTATTCTATAGTATTGCAACTTATTTTTATGGAAGGGGCCCCCGAAATTGCTTTGCCCCAGGCCCCCTGAATCCTCTGGGCGGCCCTGCCTGGTACCCAGCCTGGTACCCAGCCACAACCAGTTTCCCAACAGATGTTGTACAGGGATAGGGTGAAATTCACCCCAGCATAAGCACTGTACCGCCTATGGTCCTGGGAGAGCCCTCAGCGTGAATTACAGAGGAGAATTTCACCCTGTTGTATCAACCAGGCAAGGTACTAACAAACTTAACAGGACTTTATTTTTACAGTGGAAACCTCTTTACCAAGAAGCTGCTGCACCCTCTGTAACTCTCACTTAGTCTCTTCAACTCCTCCCCACTCCTTAAGGACATAAGAACATAAGAACGGCCGTATCGGGTCAGACCAAAGGTCCATCTAGCCCAGTATCCTGTCTGGCGACAGCGGCCAATGCCAGGTGCCCCAGAGGGAGTGGACCAACAGGCAATGATCAAGTGATCTCTCTCCTGCCATCCATCTTCATCCTCTGACAAACAGAGGCTAGGGACACCATTCCTTACCCATCCTGGCTAATAGCCATTAATGGACTTAACCACCATGAATTTATCCAGTTCTCTTTTAAACGCTGTTATAGTCCTAGCCTTCACAACCTCCTCAGGTAAGGAGTTCCACAAGTTGACTGTGCGCTGCATGAAGAAGTACTTCCTTGTATTTGTTTTAAACCTGCTGCCTATTAATTTCATTTGGTGACCCCTAGTTCTTGTATTATGGGAATAAGTAAATAACTTTTCCTTATCCACTTTCTCCACATCACTCATGATTTTATATACCTCTATCATATCCCCCCTTAGTCTCCTCTTTTCCAAGCTGAAGAGTCCTAGCCTCTTTAATCTCTCCTCATATGGGACCCATTCCAAACCCCTAATCATTTTAGTTGCCCTTTTCTGAACCTTTTCTAGTGCCAGTATATCTTTTTTGTGATGAGGAGACCACATCTGTACGCAGTATTCGAGATGTGGGCGTATCATCGATTTATATAAGGGCAATAATATATTCTCAGTCTTATTCTCTATCCCCTTTTTAACGATCCCTAACATCCTGTTTGCTTCTTTGACCACCTCTGCACACTGCGCGGACATCTTCAGAGAACTATCCACGATGACTCCAAGATCCTTCCTGTTTCCTGTCCTTTCAGACTCCCAACAGTCAGTGCTCCCAGTTCTAATAATCACATGCAGCGTCTAAACACCACACACCCATAGAGTACAACAGCATTTTCCAAGTCAGACTGAATTCGCAGCACATTGACATTAAGAGAACAGACCTGTTTCAGACAATAGACAGCAATGTAACTTCCACACAATTACACTTGCCCGGCATAACATGCAGACAGGTTTCATTTAATCATGCTTTATGTTAGAAAAATATTGCACAGAGATCTTACTGCAATGAACCTGAAGTTGTTTGACTAGCTACTCGGATCCTGAGGTCCTGACCGTATGGAAAGGCTATGGTTTTTGAAAGATGGTGTCTGAATTCCACTAATAATTTCCTTTTCAATTATTCTCCTTTGGGTTTCCCTTGTGAGCCAAATCAGCCCATTTCTGTAAAGTATTATTTATAGTTTTCCTATCCAACCTGGTTTAAATCAAAGTTCATCACACAGCAGCATTTCGGCTAATTAATAAACTACCTCCTTGCTGCTCAATCAGCTAAAAGCGATTGGGCTAAACTCATTAGGATCAAAGACAACTGCCCCCCCTCACATACCCACTGGGCTGTTCCATGGAGTGGGTTAATGACTGGGCCTCAGACACACAACAACTGCGCACAGAATGTTCTGCCTTGGGGAAAACCAGCTGAAAATTAATTTCTCCACATTTCCGGGTAGGATCGGAGCAGGTGCCGAACGCCCCCTCAGCACCTTTTATCTTCAATGGGTTCGAAGACACTCAGCAATTTGCAGAAGGTCCCTTGCACTTTTCAGGATTGGGCCCTTTGAGCTATTTTCTCCCACTGCCATGGCATGGGAAGCCGTCTTTGCCAGCAGAACCGATGGAAGCCGGCATCTATTGTTAATGTTTGCTCAGTAACTGTGGAATTCCATTTCCCTAGCATGAGTCTGGTGGTAGCAATGGAAATTAAGATTAATGGCACATGGAACTAAACACATAGCTCAGGATCCTGATCCTGCAATTGGATACACTGAGGTGCATGTTTGAGACCCTAGTTAGCTACATAAAGTTGGTGCAGATTAGCTGGCCCTCTGTGACTCCATTGCAACCATTACCGGTACCTACTCTAGTCACCTGAGATTCTTCAGTGTAAGGCTCTGTCTAGGGACCTAGCCGAAAACTGCAACTTCTTTAGCTCTTGAGCAGGACGGGTCTAATCCTGTACACTGCTGAGCACCCAGACGTCCAGGAGGGCTGAGGGGAGACACCGAGCCCTTACCCCCCGAGAGTGATAGTCATCCAATGCAGAAGGCCAGAAACAAGCCCCAAGAGCCAGTTAAGCCCCTCTGAGTGGTGCCTGTCCCTAGTGATGTCTCCCCGCACAGCGTGAATTGCCCTCGCAGGGCGTAAGTGACTTGTCCCTCTGTTATTTCCACATCGCTTTAAAATTAAACATCCTCAGCTGGTGTAACCTGGTGCATCTCCACTGTTGTTAACATTCCTACGCTGATTGACACCAGCTGAGGGTCTGGCCCCACAGTGCCCAATCCTGCCCTCTGCTGGCTGCAATAGGGTAGTAGCGGTGTACCTGCATGCAGAATTTGGCCTCTCGGATACTGACAGGTGGAATAACCATGTTGGAAAGCAAATAGTGCGGTGGCAGTTAAGCGATTTCCCCCATCAGACTGCAGGTTGGGGTCTCTGGCTGGAAGACACTGAGCAATGACGTTCCTGACAGAGAACAGATCCTTTGGGATTCAGCATACAACCTACGGATGAGCTTTCTTACCGCGCTAACAACACGTACTCTGCGCTTTGTGATCGGCCAACGGCTAGAGACATGGCATCTGGGCACTGTAGTGTCTACACGACACAAAACGTGGGCCCAGTCCTGTCCCATTCACTCACAAGAGTCATCCCATTCAAAGCAGCAGAATAATTCATGTGAGCAGAGCGAGGGGGGTTTCTATAGGAAGATAAAGACTGTTTTTTAAAAACATGCTTTTAGCTGGATGTGATTAATGCAGAAAGCTACTTAGCATCCATACACTGAATCTGTCATTTACTCTGTGATAGGAGGGGAAGAAAACAGGCGACATAAACAAGATTGCCAAACCCCAGTGTTCACAAACCATGAGTCAGGTCTCATTGGTTTAATAATCATAAGGCTTTAAAAATAATAAATGTGGATCTTTTTATGTGCTTTGTCTATCAAGACAGCTGGGGGCACGTTTTCAAGCTTTTCTCCACAGCCATGAGGGCCAGAAATGTCCTTTTTAAAAAAAAAAAATAAAACCCGAGAGTCTCACATAATAACATGATTCCAGGCATAGGGGCTTTAAGGAAAACACCAAAAGAAATAGCAAGAGTTGGCAGCACTGCTTAGGTCCACTTCATTTTACTAGTGAGTAAACACAGAGGAGAAGGTCGAAGGAGCTAGTTATCAATAATGCTTGCAATGCTCTGGATTTTACTCTAATGTGAAGCACTGGTAGACGCTGAGTGTTTAGTGAAAGCAAAGCCCTACCTCCAGCATACATGTCGAAGGAGTCTGTTTTCATGAGCTGGCCATTTGTTCCTAAAGGTGGCAAATGAAATAGAGCAATTACTTTCTATAATGTAAGCGCTGTGACAGAAATGCATTGTTTAGTCCTGTTCAGCTCATGTATCCAGTGGACTATGTGCAGAATGGCTCCTTGACACAATCCTGCACTTTGTAAAGGACACGCTGCCTACGACTGGAGCAATGGGATCAGCACAACCATCTAGTAGTCGGGAAAGGATCTAGTGCTGATGAGTGAGCGGAGCTGCTAAAATAAGTGACACCTGGCTGAATGGCCATTGATTCATTTTAGGTCCCAGTCCAACAAAAGGGACCAACTAGAACAGATCCTTGTGCCACAGAGGAGGCTCAATGGGGCTCCAGAACAGTCTGAGCTGGTGGCACCGATTGCAGGACTGGGACCATAATGTGGAATGAAAACATGAAATCAGGCAATGGCAGCACCCCCGATCCGAGGGAGATGGCCCGAGCTGCCAAAGAGAGAAATGACAGCAGCAGAAGGAAAGTGGGGAGTGCTGATCTCACACAATTCCATTAGGAAAAGCTCAATGGGGATTATCCCAGGCCTGCTTGAGCGATTCCTAGGAATTATTAAGTGCAAAATTCACACCCCGCAGAGTCCATCAATCTGCAGAGATGCTGCTAATAAATGACAGGGAAGGTTCTCAGTACATTGGAGGAATGCAAGGTTCCCTAAGACCAACCCCCTACGTTAAACCCTTGGCCTTCTCACTGGACCCACTTCTGCTCTGACACCCATGTGACCCCCTGACAGGTGTGGGGCTAGGGGGACATGTGGGCAGATTTTGACCATCTGTGGTGTCTGTAGCCAGGCTCAGGAGCAGTCGGGCTGTCTCCATCTCTGTCTTTATCACACCGCTGCCCACTCTCCCAGACGGGCAGCAACAAACTAGACCAGGCGGGAACTGAAGGCTCTTGGATAGTCTAACCACCCTGGCAGAGTAACAGTGATGCCCCCGGGGTCTCTCTTTCTACCTGAGATGTTCTCCGATAATCGGCCTTTTGTCAGATTGACTTCAAAATGCCGAGCTGAGCTCCCATTGAGGGGGATGGCAGCCGGAGCTGGGCCCTTTCCCTGAAATGCTGACCGGAGAATTCAGTTCTCGGGTTGAGGACAGCCAGTTAGTGCAGAGACAAAGCTATGGTGCCTTTTATTGTCTGCCCTAGTGGCTTATGCCCCAGCTCCTGCTAAATGGGCTCCTAAGGGGGGTGCCGTGTTATGTCCAGCAGTAGGAGAGACTCAGGGCAAACCTACTGATACCTGAGCGCTTCCATTAACTCTGCCAGGGCGCTGCTTGCTTAGCCTGCTTTCCTCCCTGCTGGGGAGCCACCTGGTTAAAGCTCTGTGCTTTTAGTGGGGGTTGTTATTTATGTGGGAGCTCTGAACCTCGCGGCCATTTTCTCATTGCCAGCGTATCTTTCTGGAGTCTGGCAGGACGAGGGAGTTGGCTCTGTTCTGTGCCCAGCCAGCAGGGTGGGTCTGCATTTCTGGGGCTTGTGCCAAATTTGACATCGCGCCAGTGATTTTGCCCACTCTGGGAAACTCAGCAGGGGGTGCTGGGACTAACTGGGAGAGTCCAAAGAAAAGCTACATGGCCAGGGAGGTTTACTCCAGGAATCAATATGTTTTTGGTCAGCAGCCATTAAGGGGCCAAATCCTGAGGTCCCTGCCCCAGCAAGACTAGATGAAAACGGAGTGAACGCTGTTCAACGGGAGTTTGCCTGACGAAGGACTTCCGGAGTGGGCCCAATAGAGTGTTACTTAAGGCTCTGCAATGCAAGAGCCAGATCTGCAGCTGGTGTGAGCTGAAGTCATTGGACCTGGGCTGACCTCCACTAGCTGGGATATTTGCTGGGCAAGCATTAGTTAATTAAATAGGTAACTAGCTATAAACCTAGAGCCCAAGGAGTCATTACTGATCTCACTGATACAATCATTTCCTTCCCATTGACTTAGCTGCTCAAATGCATCGAAATGGCCGGAGCTTGCAGCCCCGCTGTAGGCGATATTCCCACTGCAGTCGGTGCGAGACAGGGCACCCTGTGGACAAAGGAGAATGATTCCCACTCTGAGAACTCACCGTTTACTAGTGCGATGTTTAACCCTCTGCCAACGTTGTTCTTCACGCCACTCATGATACTGGAAATAAAGCACAGAGACTCAAATGGCAAGTAGCATCCTGCTAGCAATGTCCGTCCCAAAGGGACGAGTCCTGCACGGCTGTTCGAAAAGGGCATCTGCGGGGTTCATTTTAGGCCAGCTGCAATAGTCATGAACATAGCAGCAGGGAGGCCTATTGTCAAAGGATTTTCAACCTCGTTTATACCTATGCCTGTCACCATTGTTACCCAGCAGTTTTTTCTTCCCCTGTTCTGTGAGCAGGCGCTTTTCCCCGCTGGTTCCCAAGCACAGCCCACATACTGTGTAGGGTCCAAACTTGTCCCTTGCCTGAGTCTGCCTTTATCAAGCAAAGAAATTAACAACATAACAAAGAGCGGCTGAATCCCTCTCCCCAGGCTTGGCTGCTGCTAAGGTTCCTCCCTCAAGGCTGCTCAGCCCACCCCCCAAGTCCTCTCCCAAGAGAGTCCCTCCGACCTCCAGTGTAATATGGCCTTTTGGTTCAGTACTTACATCGTATTTTCAAAGCACATAGAAGGCCCAACAACATTGGCTGCTCCACTCGAGATTTTAAATGCAAAAGTGCTTTCGGGACAACTTTTGTGATTACCACACTTGTTTTGCAGGGGCTGGGTCTCTGAAGGGAATGAAGAGGAGACTGTAAATTGTACTGCCTTGCACAGGCAGCCTTTGGACATTTCTTAACATAGGTAATCTGGTGAGGGTTTGAAATACATGGGCCAAATCCTGAGGGGACTGACTCAGTTTCTCTAGACACCAGAGGGCGTTTGCATCTAACCTGAGCAGAGATTTCAGTGTTTGGGGCACTGGGTGAAATCATCCTTGCACAGTTGTAGGAGGGGGGGCATCCCCGTGGCAGAGCACCACTCGAGTTTATTGTTCTGATATTGGCACGCAACTCTTTTGGGCAGAAAAGGGTGTCTGAAATAACTGCAGCATCTCTAAGGAAAGAGACGGGCTGGGGTAAGCTCCAGTGAAATGGAGGTCGCTGAGGAAAAGGCTCGTTTAGCCGAGTCCGTTTGACGGTTTAACGTGGGATCGGTGTATCCGGAGGGGGTGAATCAGGCAGGGCCCGGCGCAGGCTTGTCCAGAGTGAATCGTTTGTAATCGTTAGCAGAGGGCAGCATCCAGAAGGGGTTTGCTTCCCTCCCCCAGCGGCTGTCTCAACAGGCAGGCGAGTCACAGACACAGCATGTCCGTCGAGCAGAGGCTGTTGCTATCACTGCGATTGTCATGAGCTGTCGTGCAGCGGCACCTGGGACCATTCTGAGCCTCTCTAGTCTAACTTCCGGCATCGCATGGGCCAGACAACCTCGCCCAGGGATTCCCACGTCCAGCCCAGCACTTCGGTGTGAGCTAGAGCGCAAAGACACCCAGCCTGGAGTTAGCGTGCTTGGGACGGCTCGCCTAGGAGGGGGGCACTTGACAGCAATAAGGGGGGCAGAACTGGGGCCTTGGTGTGAATCTTTGGCAACAAGTCAGGCCCCGGGTTTGAACTCCTGGCCCCACTGGAGTCACTGGAGAAACTCCCAGGCACTTCAGCGGGGCAGGATTTCACCCCTTGCTTTGCCTCCCTCGTTCTGCCAGCACTTCTCAGAGCTCCGTGCGGCTGCCATGAGAACGGCGCACTCGTATACTCACTGGGCAGGTCGGGCTCGGAACCTGGGGAGACACAAACAGCAGCATCACACCTCTGAACCCCCCCGCCCCTTTGCCGAGCCGAAAGAGGGATTGGGCAGCAAAGGAAGCCATTGGAGGAGGAAGGCGGGGGTCTGGCTAAACAAAGCCCAACTCAGAGTTCTGGATTAACAGGGTCGGCTGGGGAGACCCACTTCATAGAAATACGTCCATGAGTGTAAATGAGAAAAGATGATTAATCATGGAATAACTGACCGGATGCCCTGGACGCAGAGCCAGTGAGGGCAGGGGCAAACATCTGTGCCCCAAGCCGGAATGTCTACACTGCTCTTTATAGCCATGCAGTGCCAGCCCCACAAGCCCCAATCAGTTGACCCAGGCTCTGAGACTTGCTGTCACGGGTCTTTTCCTGCTGGGCGGACGTGCCCTATGTGCCACGCCCGTGGCCTATGGCCCCGCTGTGGGCATTACATGACGCAGAGTTGGAGGACTCGATGCAGGTGATCTAGGTGGGCAAGCAGAGTGGCGAGCCTGCTGTCCACACAGACCCACTGCAGAGATGGATGCGAGATCTTACAATGCAAACTTATGAGGAGAGGCTGAGGGAACTGGGATTGTTTAGTCTCCAGAAGAGAAGAATGAGGGGGGATTTGACAGCAGCCTTCAACTACCTGAAGGGGGGTTCCAAAGAGGATGGAGCTCGGCTGTTCTCAGTGGTGGCAGATGACAGAACAAGGAGCAATGGTCTCAAGTTGCAGTGGGGGAGGTTTAGGTTCGATATTAGGAAACACTATTTCACTAGGAGGGTGGTGAAGCACTGGAATGCGTTACCTAGGGAGGTGGTGGAATCTCCTTCCTTGGAGGTTTTTAAGGCCCGGCTTGACAAAGCCCTGGCTGGAATGATTTAGTTGGGGATTGGTCCTGCTTTGAGCAGGGGGTTGGACTAGATGACCTCTTGAGGTCCCTTCCAACCCTGATATTCTATGATTCTAAACCATGCGCCCCAAGTAAATGGGCTCCGTGGAGGGGACGGGGGCAGAATACCCTGTCCAGCCAGATGCAGGACCACGGCGGCTGATAGGATCAGTATCGCTACAGATCCCATGGAGCCCCCTATTTCCTCAAAGGGGAAGCCTCGGACGTATTCCAGACTGGCCCCAGCTGTCCTGCTAAATCACCGTACCCAGCCAGCTCCGCAGACTGACGACCTTCCATCCGGTGTTGAAGTACGTCTGTACAAAGAGCCAGGCGGTGCCCAGCGAGAACAGCATGGCCGCTATCCGGATCAGCCCTGCAATGGGAGGCAGAGAATAGCGCGGTAAGTCGCAGCGCTCTGGAGAGGGGAGCAACACAGCCACCCTTACCAGGGCCAGGGGGAGCTCATTTCCCGCTGCTTGCCGGGGACCATGGGTCACTCTCCGAGAAGGAAGCGAGTCCCTGGTAGAATTCTCCTCCGACCTTTGGCGAAGTAAAACGTGACTCTCTTTCTTTAGTTTCCCGAGAGCCCCCCCTGCAGTCAAAGCCAGGGGGGCAGACCCCTGCCCCCACGCAGAGCCCCTTTGATGTGGCCCTGCACTGGTGCAGACATCCACCCCCGTGGAGCCGGGGCCCAAGTAATCACAGCATTGGGGGTTAGGTAGGCCACCATCACCGACGTTTGGCTGTGCCTGCCCTCCACGTCCCCGGCCCTAGAGCAGGGTGCTGCAGAGGGCTGGCCAAGCAGCGTTCACCAGCCAGTCCCCATGCAGCCGCAGAGGGAGAAGACAAGAGAAGAGACAAGCAATACCCCCGACAGCTGCGTGGGGAGAAGAGCAGATACTGCCAGATCCCCTACGGCGGAGGGGCAGGAAGGCGGGGAAGGGAGTTCTGCTCATCCCCCCTGAGGTGAAGGGATGGGGGGGGCTGTAAAGGTGGGGTGCTCTGGCAACAGCAACGTCACGATATGTGGGTTCCACTTAGCTATGAGCCTGAACCACAACGTCTACAGCCAACCCTCTCCAGAGCTCGGGGGTGTTCAGAGCTCGGGGCACGGCCCTCACAAGCTCCAGTGGGTTTGCTTAATGGGGCCTGCATGTAGCAAGAGATCGAGTGGTCAGCGCACGAGACTGGGAGTCACGTTCTGCCACTGGCCCGCTGTGCGACTCTGGGCAAGCCGCTTGGTCTCCCTGTGCCTCAGTTTCCCCATTCTTACATACAAATAATATGCGCCTCATGGGGCTTAGCCCGAGTTACTGGGGCTGGGTTCGATTCACTGGGTGGAGCTGCTGGTCTGTGCTATGAGGAGGTCAGTCTAGATCATCATAATGTCTCTTCTGGCCTTAAAAATCTTTGGCTCTATTAATGCATGTTTCTATAGTGCTTTGAGATCCGTGGGCGAAAGATGCTACATAACTGCAAAGCATCACTCACGTTCTTCTCTGTCTTAGAGTAAAGCTGAGGTGTTCGAAAGCCACGTAAATCCAAGTCCGGCTTGAGTTCCCAGAGCTGGGAGGCTCCTGACCCCCGCAACTAGTGACTAGCGCTCATTGAACAGCTGTTCAGATCAATCTGATTGGGGTTTGGTTTTAAAGCAACCGTCAGTGGAGCTGTCATAACTATAAAGGGAAGGGTAACAGCTCTCCTGTGTACAGTACTATAAAATCCCTCCTGGCCAGAGACTCCAAAATCCTTTTACCTGTAAAGGGTTAAGAAGCTCGGGTAACCTGGCTGACACCTGACCCAAAGGACCAATAAGGGGACAAGATACTTTCAAATCTTGGGGGGGGGAAAGGCTTTTGTTTGTGCTCTTTGTTTAGGGGGTTGTTCGCTCTTGGGACTGAGAGGGACCAGACATCAATCCAGGTTCTCCACATCTTTCTAAACAAGTCTCTCCTATTTCAAACCTGTAAGTAAATAGCCAGGCAAGGCGTCTTAGTTTTCCTTTGTTTTCTCAACTTGTAAATGTACCTTTTACTAGAGTGTTTATCTTTGTTTGCTGTACTTTGAACCTAAGACTAGAGGGGAGTCCTCTGAGCTCTTTAAGTTTGATTACCCTGTAAAGTTATTTTCCATACTGATTTTACAGAGATGATTTTTACCTTTTTCTTTAATTAAAAGCCTTCTTTTTAAGAACCTGATTGATCTTTCCTTGTTTTAGATCCAAGGGGCTTGGATCTGTATTCACCAGGAGTTGGTGGGAGAAAGGAGGGGGATGGTTAATTTCTCCTTGTTTTAAGGTCCAAGGGGTTTGGATCTGTATTCACCAGGAGTTGGTGGGGGAAAGGAGGGGGATGGTTAATTCTCCTTGTCTTAAGATCCAAGGGGTTTGGATCTGTATTCACCAGGGAATTGGTGAAAGGTTTCTCAAGGCTTCCCAGGGAAGGGAATTAGCTTTGGGAATGGTGGCAGCGGACCAGATCTAAGCTGGTAATTAAGCTTAGAAGTCTTCATGCAGGTCCCCACAGTTGTACCCTAAAGTTCAAAGTGGGGATACAGCCTTGACAGGAGCACAATGCGCTTTCCCTGCCTTGGAAACATGATTGCAGAAAACATTGATATTGCATGTGAATGGCGCTTCTGGAACCAAGAACCTCTCCACAGTCACCTCTTCCCCAGTCTGGAGGATTTCATTGGAAAAAGGACAATAGACTGAACTGTATAAAAGTTATTAAAAACAAGGCTGCACACTTATTGACATGTAGATCCTTTTAGCCCCCTCCGGCTGAATACGGTCATGTAGAGTCTTCCTGCGAACAAGAAACAGACCCAACGAATAGGAACAAAGAGCATTTTTTATAATCATTATAAAAGACAAATATCCTCTGGCCTCTTACCTGTCAACCTCATTGTAGCGCTCAGGGACAGCGGAATCTGGGCTCTAATCAAAGCTCACAGCTCAACCTGCTGAAACAGAAAAAGTATCTTAAAATGTAACTGTCCTCCAGAAGCAATAGATGAGTGTTAGATTAAAGATCTTAATTGCTATGGTAACACTACTGGAGTATTTTTGCAACAAGATGTCACACCAAAGCAGCATCCCATTATATATGTTTACACACAGACTTGATTCAGCTGTGATGGCTCTTCTAGAGCTATTACAAGTCATTTTTATAATGTTCAGAATTTTTATAATTTTGGGCTCAATTATATGTGACCAGCTTACACTGTTTTAAACTTACTTCATTTTTAAGACCACCCCTGGCTACTTGCCATTTATTCTTTGAACCTGCCAGTAATGTTTTATGTTCTACTTCAAAATGGATCCATTTTTTTTCTAGCTGTTGACGATTATAATAAGAATAATGAGTTTTAAAATTACTTGAAAATTGTATAGCACATTCTTTATGACAGAATATTTCAAATCACCGTTTTGTTCCATTTCATAGCTGGATAATGCAAAGTGCATTTCTAATCCTAAGGAGTGCTAACCACCAGGTGGGGACATGGCAAGATTTGGCCTTGACAAGTTAGGGAAAGTTTATTGTCACAAATCAATACCATCAAAGAAACCACAATATTTGAATAACTGAAAACAGTAACAAGCAAATATTACATACTCATGTAGATCTCCATTCTCTGCATCACATATTTGATACTTTTTTTTTTTGGCTACCCACCAAATGGGGCCTATACCTATAAGAAGTTATTAAAGTTCATTAGGATCAGTTCTAAATAAATAAAGACACAGGACCAAATTCGATTCTTACTTGCCCTGGGGTGACACCAGAAGTCTGCCAAGTACTTTGGATTTGCAGTGGAGTGACTAAGATCAGCGTTTGTCCCCGAGGATGAGATTATATAGCCTTACTGAGACACAAGTCCCATTGGCTTTTCTGGGAGGTTTGCCTACGTAGGGATTGAGCACGGTCTGTCTGTCTCCTCCTATAAGCCCTCACTACCATTCTCTTTGAGCACCTTCAGTCCACAACGAATGGGATTGTCTGTCCTGGTATTTCAAAGCTAACCCCTTATCAGTGGTAAAAGGAAGCCTGAAAGGGGCCATTTACCTCATGTGCTGCTGCCTATCCCCATGTTGCTGCTTCTGCTCGGACACACACAATGCAGGTGACTGTGGAGGACGGATCCCTCACCTCAGTTCCTGCTTTACCACTTGTCACTGCTCTGGAGCTGGGAGGCTAATTTTAACTGCTTGACACGTGCCCCCAGCTCCGCTTTGTTCAGCCTTAAAGGAGCAAATGGTACTTTTGTGAGCTCTTCCTTGGAAAATGTCATACATGAGCTGTGGTAGGTTCCGGGTCTCCTGTCTGACGGGCAGGCTGCGGGGGAAGGAGAGTGCGTTTCTTTTTTATGTAAAGAGGGAAGAAAAAAGATCCTTCCCTCGAGTCGCTCCCTTTTCTCCACTGACCCACCCATAACCTGATTGACAAGTCATGTAATCACTGGGCCAAACAGTTAAGGCAAACCGGATCTTTCATTTCCTGCTCAGACTCGGACAATGGTTCCATTGTTGCGCAAGGGCTGAGTGTTACCTCAGTCCTCAGGCTGGTACTGCAAGTGTTTCCAGCCCCCCAAAGTGGGTGTGGAGGGGCCTGGCCTGTCCCCTCTCTCTGCACCCCACAGAGGGGCATGCATGCCCCGAGTGCAAGCCAGTGAGCGCCCAGAGACGCTGTGGTTCCTTGAAGCTCATTGCCTCTCTGGCCTCCACTGCCCACCTCCCAACGTGGCTCTGTGCCTAAAAGGCGCCATCCAGCCCTCGGAGCATGTATGAAATGATTTTGCTTGCATCCCAACGTGCTTTTTTAAGAGCTGGTGGTGCCTCCCAGAAACCAGCCTGTCCAGGACTCCACCCCCTGGGCCTTTGGCGAAGATCTAGAGATAGGTCCTTTAAGGGCCAAAGCTGCATTCCTCCAGGAGATCAGTGGGGAGCTGGAGTGCCCCACCAATGCACAATTGGATCCCAGAGAAGGAACTTCCGTATTGCGCAGGGAGAGTGGAGATGAGCTGGAGGGAAAGAGAAGCCGGGCCTTCTTGGCCCAGCTCTGAGCCCAGAGCCCCCGGCCAGCCGAGTGCCTTACCCACAAGACCTTGCATTTAGGATGGGCAAGTTCTTATATTCTTAGCAAATTATTGCCCCTTCTTCCCACTCTGTCCCTCCCCAAGTCTCTGCTAAGCCAAAGGGTTTCAACCCAGTTACAAGGCTGTATTGGTTTTACTTTTACTTGATGCGACTATTGAAGCATGCCAAGGAAGAGTTAATGACACCGTGCTTACCAGCCCAAGCCATGATGTGGGACAAAAGATTGGCCTTTTCGCTAGCCGCATTTTCAAGGAGCTCCAACGCTCGCTCTATGTGTGTTTGCCTCACATCTAGGTTTATTATTAACATGATAAATATTTGTTAAGCAATGTATTGGCAGTTAGCAGCACCGTGGGGCTTTCTGACCCCAGAAGCCCTTATTTACAAGCGATAATATTCTGGCAGTTAATTTACTCCAGTGAAATATTGCTCATGCCCCAGCCACTGGCCTTGACTATATGAATCAAGGAAAACAGGGGCCAAAGTCACAATTTTTTTCTTTTCAGCCAGTACCGAGGTTGTAGGTGTTTCTCTGGATTGGCGTTAATGTCGGAGACACGTTCCTCTCTACAGCTTCAACCTTCAAGGAAAGAAAAAGGAGGAAATTCCATCCTGACTTGTTTTACTGGAGTCCTGTTATAATGGGAGAAACCAAGAAACTGGAGAACCGCCCCCATAGATCCATCTCTGATTCCCAGGAATCGCTAGACAATGGAAACTGAAGCGACTTTGCCAGATTTTAGCGGGTTGCCTATTCTTAGCATGTCCACAGGATGAGCCGTTAGCTGAGGTCCAGCCATTTAGGACCATTTACGATCATCTAGTTCAGCGGTTCTCAAACGTCATTGCACCGCGACCCCCTTCGGACAACAAAATACCGCACAACCCCAGGAGGGCGGACCGAAGCGTGAGCCTGCCTGAGCCCCGCCACCCCGGGCCGGGGGGCTGAAGCCGAAGACCGAGCTCTGTTACCCCAGGCGGTGTGGGCCCCAGCAAGTCTAATGTCAGCCCTGGTGACCCCATTAAAATGGGGTCGTGACTAACAGTTTGAGAACCGCTGATGCAGAACCTCCGGCATCTCACAGGCCGCAAAACTGCAGCCAGTGCTTCCTGCATCCAGCCCAGCACCGTGTGCTTGACTAGAGCACAGAGATGTCTGAGCTGGATGCTGGAGAATTTGGAACAGAAAGACAAAGCTCAACAATTCCTCGGGTTCCCTGGTTGGAACTGCTGGTCCCTGACCAAAGGCTGGTAGTTTGGTCAGATTGCTGAAAGCCTGAAACAAACCTCTCAGCCTATCTTCCGCACCGCTGTTAACGTCAGCACACTTTCACCCAGCTAATTACCCGGGATCTCGCGCTCCAAGGGCCAAGACTTAACCTCACGAATAGTCCTGCTTTTCACCGGGAGCCGCACGGATTTCAAACACACCCAGGAGCTGGCTGGGTCAAGCCCTTTTGGCGAAGCATAGGGTACTCGCCAATGGACAGCTCTAAGGATCTCAGTGGCAACCACCGCATGTGCCGGGGAGTTACCAGGATAGGCAGCCAGACCGGCCCCTCTCCAGAATGGCTCTGTTCGTGGGAGCCCTCCTGCTCGGTCTGCCAGTGGCGATAAACTGGCGCACGACATCAGAACCAGGCCCGCACCGCAGCTGCCAGCCACAGCCAGGCCCGGAAGAAGAAAAGGGGGTTATGGGGCAGACGCGTCAGCCCGAGCTGTCCAGCTCCTTCTCTTCTGTCTTGGAGACTCAATCCATTGCTCTGGCACTTGGCCCAGCTTTCTGCAGTTCACTGGGCAGGCGGCTCTTTGCCGAGGGAGCCAATGGACACAGAGTACTCTCCTCCTCACAGTCCCCTGCATGGCAGTCTCAGGCCCGGCACGGCACAGAGGTTATTTATCAGCCAGCCAAACGAGGTCCCTGGCAAGCGCATCCTCATGCTGTAGCTGCTGTGCCTGGGGCAAAGGCAAGAGAAAGGAGGAGACATGCAGCCTCCGCCTTCTTGTGGCACCAACACGCACAGCACAGGTCCCAGGCACGCAGGAGAATGAGACTGATCCAGTGTCCCAGGAATAGCACATAGGCCTGGAGACTGCCACGGGCACCATGAACGGTCAGACCTGCTCTGCAGGGCCTACGCCGCTTTCAGTCTCTGGCTTGCAACTCCTCGCTCTCCCCCCGACTCCAATTCAGCCGTGTGCTTCCTCCACCCTCAGCCTTTCTGAGCTCCCACCCTGCCCAGCCCATGACTGAGTCACCAGAACTCTGTGTCTACGAGGAGGCGCATGAAGCCAGGGAGTCAGATGGGGTTGGGGGGAGATGGCTCCACCCTCCCAGGGCACTGCCAGATTTTGGGCCATGCAGCCTTTTCTGGGACAATGTGGGGGAGGGGGATCTCTGTGAGGGGATCCTGTGGAGATTTCCTCTCCCTGCTGTGAGTATTGCCAGAAGCCAGGATGCTGCTGGCACCACTAACATAAAACAGGGGATGGAGCCTTGACAATCCATGTGCTTGTTTTCACACCAATATCCTTAGCAACGAAAGAAACCAGGAAAGGGAGGTGCAGAAAATATAAGGACGTAGGATGGAAGGGACCTTCTGGGCCATCAAGTTCAATTCCCTGCTGTCACAGGCAACCTCGTCCTTTCATCTTTTCATAAAATGATCAAGCTCCATCTTCCAATGAATTAGGAGTTTGGCCAGGGGCAGGAGTGTTTCCAAGGCGGCTTTCCCCCCCCTGCGTTTCCCCTTTGCACTGGCAGTGGCTTCACACCCAACACAACCCCATTCTAACTGGCCCCAAATCCCACCTTAACAGGAGACGAACCACTCCCAGGAAAATAATCTAGGGAACCAGTTGC